GTCTGTCCTATCTCTTCTGTGATTACTTTCTTCCATCACTGTCATGTTTTAATGAATTAAACATGCAGTACACATACCTTCAGACTCTGGCTTTGCACTTCTAGGAGTAATTCACAAAGGTTTTCCCTGCTTCCAGTCTTCCGATTTCAAACTGGCCTTTCTGTCTGCTATGTCCTCCTGATGCTTTTGTAGATGCTGTTGTTGAATGCAATAATCATTTGGTCTGAGCCAAGGATGGGATAACAAAAGGAGTACCTGCCTGTTTTGTGGTTCTTTAAAATGAGTTTTGATCTCGGTTGGATTACTGATGGATAAGCATCAACATAACAAAATTAACCTCCATGGTTGACTGTGATAGTTTTGTTCACCATTGTGACAGACGGGTAAACAGAATTCCCTTCTCTTCAGCTGATGCTGCATACTTTTGTGTATGAATGGAAGACTGGGATCTTAGGCTATTCATACAATTCCTTAAATAAGTAATTCATATCAACCCCTTCCCTTTTTAGAGAGAGTTGTATATTTGAGCATCTTGTGACTTGATGCAAACGCACCACTTCCAGTATGCAAAAGACCTAAGAGAACTCTTACCCATTTTGGTTTCCGTGGTCTTCTAAAAGTTTATCTGGCTAAAAAGCAGAGCATTAAACACATCTGAGCTGCTTTCTATTGGACACAGTATTACTGGGAAAGAACATGGCTTGGGGACCTGCCAATGACATTTTGCTGACTTGAAACAGATTTAAAATTAGTTTATGCTGTTCCCTTCACTGTTGGTGGCATAGGTGCTACATTCTTTAAAAAAAAAAAAAAAGACTAGCAGAAAATGTATAGGTGCCCATTATAAGTGTATATCGCTCAGGATATTTCACTGTCTTTTTAATCTTGTTTTTACCTGCCATCTTTTAATCATTTGGAAGCTTGAACAAGCCCATTAATATTCACACTTCTTCGGCCTTTATTCATCTTTTACCATGATTAGTTCATTCTTTCCTTGGTAGGCTGTTAAGGAGTGTTGTGATTTGCTATCTCAGGCACTTACTAAGTAATACAAATCACTAACTGGCAAAGAATTAAGTGCACCAGGGGGAGAAGGATTGAAACTTTGGTCCTATCTGGTTTAATGGCTCACTTCAATACTTTACAAAAAGGTTGTTTTACCTTGCCTTTGTAGATCTTTGGAACAGAGTGCTGATTAGTAGAGGCAGCTTCCTGTTAAGGATTCAAGTTGCATGCATGTGTGTTCTGTTCTCCCATGTGAAAATTGTGCAAAATTCCACATTCAGATTACTAACACTGATTTAATTTGGAATCTGCCTTCCCAAGGTATAAGCTTTCTCCAGAATGAATCTTTTTTTTCCTAAAGCAAGGCCTTGGTCACTAATTTGCAGGCTGAATAGTTTTCTCCATTGAGTTCAAGTTAGTGGAGGATAAAAGGAGCTGGCAGATCCAGCTACATGTTTTATGTATTAAGAAGATGAGAAGGTGATGCATGGCTGCAGGTGCTGTTAGCAGTGGATTTTGAGAGCTCATTAGGTGATGCCTTTCTGGCCTAATTTAGGCTATGACAAAATAGAAGAACTTAATTCACAAAAGTGATTTTTAAGACTTTTTTTTTTTGTCAGCAGTTTGGTTTTACCACCTTTACTGAAAGCTGCTTCTGTCCTGGCAGGATATCTGCATTTATGGGGAAGGGGGGGAATCTACTTCTGCTTTCAGACTTTCTGATCAGTAGCGGAGGGAAATTTCAAAACTACGAACTTCGAATTATGTGGAAGTTCTGTAAAAGGTCCAGCATTGCTTTTTCCAACAACCCAGTTCGTCTATGTCCATTGGTGACATCTGCCTTTATTTTTCTCTTGTTCAGGCCTACCTGCTTTATTGGCTTTTATGGTCTTATTTTAAAGGATTGCTTTTCACATTAGTTGCTTTTATGAGGATGGTGATCCAGCAGAAACCAGTCTGCTGCAAGCCAAACTTCATTTCTTTTCTAAATTTCATAGGTCTCTTATGCTGTTTTCTGCTTGAAAACCCCACAAAGGAAATGTCATGTTTTGTAACAAAGTGATGACTTTCTTTTGCTGACTAAAATCACTTTCTGCTTTTCAGAAAGGATATGTAATGAAAAAAGTGTGTGTGTGTGTGTGTTTTCCAGGAAATATCTGCCTTTCTTATACCATAGGGGAGTGGTTTGTATAACTTGGTCTTTTAATTTCTGTGTTTAAAGGACAGTTTCATCTCTGGATGCCATTGAGGAAACTAATCGCCTCGTGTCAGGATAATAGTTTAGAAGTGATTGATTGAATTTATAATTGGCTGCTGATCAAGTAAACTCTTCTGCATAAATGCACCTATTAGCAGCATAGTCCTGTCTCCTTACAGCAGAACACCTCTGGAAGTACTGCAGTGTTGACTGCCCTGAGTAGCAGTAAATATTAAATGTCAATAAAAGATTGCAAAAATGTATAGACTGGCACCATAAGAGTGGTGTATTCTTCATCCTGAGAAGAATGTTTATAAATGTTGGAAAGATGTTAAATATTACATCTTTCCTAGCATGGGTTTATTATTAACAAACAATCCTCTTACTTTAAAAAATAAATCTGACTAATGTTTTATAATAAACTATTTTCAAAAGTTGTATCAAAACTCTGCAATAAATGACCTATTGTAGGTCATAGTATAGGGCCCTGGTTCTGCAGTGAGAACTGAATGGTATTGGTATAGGATCAGGACCCATGACTTCGTTAATGCAGCTGTCATTAAGAATCTCTAGGAAAAAATCTTGCCATGTTTAGGCTACTGCAAGTACTTGGCTTGTATGCAAACAGTGCTGTTTCTGGAAATTTGGTTTATGTCTGAAACTAACCTCTGGCACAACTGAAATGTATCTAAACTTATTTTGCTGCCTGATAACAAAACACTTCACAAAAGCTATGTCAGACTTTGATATAGAAAACACTTTCCAGCCTCAGAAAAAAATAACTTTTAGTGATTCCTTTTTATGTGAAAAATACCATGAGAAGGTGGAATATGTTTGGCTTTGAAACCCAAGGAGATAAAATATCTCCTTAGTAACAATTTATATGTGATAACTACCCTGTTTTTTGGGAGGGGTTGTTTGGGGGGGGGGGGGGGGGGGGTTTACAAGAAACT